CCATTACTCAGCTGGCCGTGGCGTTGGCAGAGACCCGCACAAATGACCATCTCCAAAAATTACTTAGAAAAGAAGCAAGGTCCATGTGGTTTATACACTGTGATTTCAGTTGAACTGAAAAACAATTTTGAGTGTGTTGCATATGCAATATTCATATTTTGCACATAACCCAAGCCCCATGCATGCCAGACAAGCACTATCCTCTGACTTACTTCCTTAGCCTCTCCATGTGCTTCGTACATGCTCGGAAATGTCTGAGAAGAAGCAGAGGATACTATGTTTCTCTGTAACTTCCAGATTCTAGACTACCATGATCATATTATTACTTTTCTATCAAAAAGTGCTTTGAACAAACTGCTGCTTTTTTTTGGGGGGGGGGGTTCTGGTTTTTCACGAAAGGGTTTCTTTGTATAGCTCTGCTGGCCTGCAACTTGCTCTGTAAACCAGGCTGGCCTCAGACTCAGAGATCTGGCTGTGTCTGCCTCCTGAGTGCTGGGATTAAACATGTACAGCACCACCACCTGGCTGAAACAAACTGTTTTTTTAAATCAAGCAAATGTGTGTTTGTTCTTCTGAAAATAGGATGGTTCCAATAGAGGTACTTTAAAAGTTATGCACCAACTGAACAATATATACTACGCTAAGCACGTAAATACTTCAACCTAAAAACTTCTCTCTAGACCTAACACATCTGCACAGGGCTTCTTACGGAAGCCCTTGCGCTTATTTACAAGAGAACTCTTGGCAGAGTCCAAAGGGCTAAGCGGTAACTCCATCTCTGTCATTTTTTGACTTCAGCAAGTGATATGACCTAAGTGGGCCCTGATTTCCCTTCTTTATCTGATGGATACATGGCCCATAGATGACTGTGGTGGTGGCAGAGTACGCAATGGCGCCCCAACACACAGCAAACTAAGAGTGGCCAGTAGTTCCTGACGTAGTAGTCGCCTATTACCCAGTTAGACTCGCTAACAAGGTTCTAAATCCTCCCCAAGTCCTCTCCTGCTTTAACTGTCAATTGTGGGTTTTTTTTCAACTCCTTTAACTTTTTTCTCAAAATTGATAGTAATTATCAGCGTCTTACAAAATAGCTAATTAAGCTAGGCATGGTAGCACATGCCCGAAATCCCAGTGTTCTGGAGCCAGAGGCAAGAGGATCTGTATTTGAGGACAGTATGGGCTACACATTACGGTTCAAGTCCGTCTGTCTCCGTCAATTTTCTAATCTTTGGAAGCTGCTAACATGTACTTCCTATTTACTCAAGTAATTAATTTTATTCTCTAATGGGGTTGAAGACCAAATAGTCACAATATTACACTTAACTTAGTTGCTTAGGAATTAAAAATATGTGTTAGGTCTAGATAGAAGTTTTTAGGTTGATAGATACAAACTATAAAAATGACTTAGGTACAAAACCTTAGACGCTCATAGATAGGTATTTTCTTTAAGATTACCAAATACGTTCAGACTACACATTATATATATATATATATATATATATATATATATATA